CCTGGCGCGTGTACGTGCGTGCCCAAGATCCCAAGAGGAGAATGGAAGAGAAGGGACTGCGGCGTGACCATCCCCCCTGTGGGGTGATCTCTCGCTTTCTGTCTCTATGTCTCTCTGTCTGTCTGGCGAGCGCACGCACCCTATAGCAAAAACCTCTCCAAAAAAAAAGAGTTACAAATAAGAACAAAGCCTTTTTGTACAATAGCTCATTAAAATGAATCACAAAAGTGACTACAATTTAGACATATTCTTTATATACTTGAAAATCTATGGTACATTAATGCTGTAAATATTTAATAACTAGTTTCCATGAAGCTCTGGCCTCCCTTTAGGCTGGAAACTGCTATTTTGTAATGTACATTTACAAGTGTATTTCAATCACTTTAGATGAGTGTTTCTTCACCTAATATACACAGAATCTTACATATTATCCAAAGAACTCATGAACATCAAAGGACTTTTTTTTTTTTTAATTTATTTTACTTTGGCCAGAGAGGGTTAGATTGAGAGAAAGTGAGAGAGGGAAAGTGAGAAAGCAAGCTACCAGGTCCAGGACTTGAACTGCAGTCAGCCATGTGCGAGAGTCCAGCGCCCTTAATCACCAAGCCACCTGCTGGCCCTCAAAGGGCATTTACAAGAAATAACTAGCTTTCATAGCTCTTGCTACATGTATTTGTGCAGATTAGACCTTTGTCGATTTCATTTTTCTTACCTGTACAGAGGTGATAGAACCCTTCTTGGTGGTGGTGATTCTTTCCTGCATAGTACCCATGTCAGTGGCCAGGGTAGGCTGATAGCCCACAGCAGAAGGGATTCTGCCCAATAAAGCAGACACCTAAGACAAGAGAGTCACAACATAGGTCTTAGATGTCTACATCTTTAGCCTCATCTGTAGAACTCCACAGAAAGGTCAAATGAACCAGGTCTTTTCAAACCCTCCAGCTTACCTCTGAGCCAGCCTGGGTGAAGCGGAAGATGTTATCAATAAACAGCAGCACATCTTGACCTTCTTGGTCTCTGAAGTATTCAGCCACAGTCAGTCCAGTCAAAGCTACCCGGGCACGAGCACCAGGTGGTTCATTCATTTGACCGTAAACCAGTGCTACCTGCAGTAATTAAGAGAGTCAGAAAACCTGGCAGGCATATGGAAAACACAAACCCAAGATCCCCAAATCAGAGAGAAAATACAGAACCTCCTTTTAAGAAAGTATCAATGTTTTTGCTTGCAAACTTCTTTTCCCTATGAGAGCAGCTCAAAACACAAATTTTTAAAAATAATTATTTTATTTTATTTTATTCATTCATTCATTCATTCATTTTAATTTGCCCAGAAAGGGACAGAGAGACAGAGAAAGTGAGAAATGTATTTATTTATTTTGCCCAGAGAGGAGAAGAGAGAAAGAAAGTGAGAAAGCAAGCTGCCAGATTCGGGACTCAAACAGCTGTTGACCATGTGGGAGTCCAGCACCCTTAACCACCACGCCACCTGCTGGCCCTGTGAAATTTTATACATGTATTACTAAGGCAAAATTCTTACAGTCAAAATAAATAATTACCTGTGTATGTGAAAGGTACAAACTAGGGTTCTCTGAGACATATAAACCATCTCCATCTTCCCCCCTAAATTTATTTTTAAATGATGGCACTATCTACTAAAAAGAAAAGTCTAAAAATATGAAATAATGCCAAAAAGAAATGAAACTATGCATTAGTATATTAAAAATGGGAGAGAAGGGGTTGGCAGGTGGCATGGTGATTAAGGGCGCTGGACTCCCACATGACAAAGCACAGTTCAAGTCCCAAACCTGGCATCTTGCTCTCTCTCTTTCCCAAAATCCCTCTCTCTTTCTCATTCTGTCCCTCTCTGGTCAAATAAAAATCAATAAATAAGGGGGCCGGCAGGTGGTGAAAGAAAAGACGAGAAAAGAAAAGGAAGCCAAATGGGACCAGCAGTTGGCGTAATGCCTATGTCGCTGGACTCCCATGTAGTCAACTGCGGTTCAAGTCTCAACTCAGTGACTTAAGCTCAAGCCAAGGGCATGTGCATGTGTCCAAGATCCTGAGAGGAGAATGGAGAAGGGATTGCAGCATGGCCATTCCCCCAGGAGATGATTTCTCACTTGCTATCTCTGTCTTTCTGGCAAGCGCACGCACCCTATAACAAAACACCCTATAGCAAAAACCATTCAAGAAAAAAAAAAAGAAAGAAAGCCACGTAAAATATTTCTTTAAAAAATAAATATATAAATAAAATTAAGTATTTTTTTTAAAATGGGAAACACTAGCAAGAATTTCCTTGTAGGTCCTGAGACAACAAAATGAAAATATAAAACCTGACTTCACCTGCCAATAGTCTGCCAGCACTATTACTATGTGCTTACCTTGGAGGTAGCATCTTTTAAGTTGATAACACCAGACTCAATCATTTCATGGTATAAGTCATTGCCCTCTCGGGTTCTCGCACCAACACCAGCAAACACAGAGTAACCACCATGGGCTTTGGCAACATTGTTGATTAACTCCATGATCAATACGGTCTTACCAACGCCAGCACCACCAAAGAGCCCTAGGACAGATTCAGAAGAGTATTACGAGTTCTGCATTTTCAAATAAGCAAATTTCAAAAAATGTTTCATTCCATCTTTTCCTTCTCAGAAATGTCATCTGGCTTCAGCAAACTCAGAAGAACGAAAGTCAGAAGCTACTCATCAGCAAGGAATGGACCCACTCATAAAATGGTGATTTCTCCCCCTCCCATATTAGCCTTACAAAATATGTACCCAGTGCTAACATACCAATTTTGCCACCTTTGGCATAGGGAGCTAGCAGATCCACAACCTTGATACCAGTCACCAGAATTTCCTGTTCAACACTCATCTCCATGAATTCAGGAGCCTCAGCATGAATAGGAGCAAACCTGTAAAGGTATAATAGAGACTCAGTATGTATTTACCTTAATAAAAACAAATTGGGGGGCAGATAGTATGGTGATTGAGGCACTGGACTCCCACATGGCCAACCATGGTTTGAGTCCTGGACCTGGAGGTTGGTTTCCTTGCCTCACCCCCCATCAAACTGAAATAATAACAATAAATTAAATAATTCTTAAAAAAAAAAGAGGGTGCTGGCAAGTGGCATGGTAATTAAGGCACTGGATTCCTACATGGCCAACTGTGGTTTGAGTCTTGAACCTGGTGGCTTGCTTTCTTACTTTCCTTCTCTCTAGTGAGCATGTACGCCTTATAGCAAATTTAAAAAAAAAAAAGATAAAATAAAGTCGGGACCAGCAGTTAGCGTAATGGCCATCACTGGACTCCCATGTAGTCGACCGTGGTTCGAGTCCCAGACCCGGTGGCTTATACTCACACTGGGCGTGTGTGCATGCGTGCCCAAGATCCTGAGAGGAGAATGGAGGAAGAAGGGATTGCAGCGTGGCCATCCCCGCTAGGGGGTGATTTCTCACTTTCTGTCTCTGTCTTTCTGGTAAGCGCCCTATAGCAAAAACCTCTCCAAAAAAATAATAATAATAAAAGATAAAGTAAAAAAAAAAAAAAAAAAGAGTAGTGTTAAATGTTCCCATTAAGTCCAATTACCTTTTTTTTTTTTTTTTTTTAAGAATTACTTTATTTATTTTAATTTGACCAGAGAGGGATGGAGCCAGATCCAGAAAGTGAGAAGGCTAGCCACCAGATCCGGGACTTGAACCACGGTTTGCCATGTAGGAGTCCAGCACCCTTAATTACCACACCACCTCCTGGCCCCCTCAAGTCCAATTCTTTGAGGATCTACTCAGCTCCCTCTTTTGTGACATATTAGATAAATTGTCATATAGCATCTAACTCAACTTTCTGCAATAAAAGAGACTCTGTTATGTCAGGAACCAATAATCCCATTCCCTGATAATTTATATCCTAGAGTTTTCCCTTTTACTAGTCCCTAACCTAACAGCATTCCTTCACATACCAATAGGAAAATTCAAAGACCTGCACACTGGGACGAGCAATTGGCATAATGGCTATGTTGCTGGACTCCCATGTAGTCGATCGTGGTTTGAGTCCTGGACCTGGTGCCTTAAACTCACGCTGGGTGCATGCTGCCCAAGATCCGAGAGGAGAATGGAGAAGGGACTGCAGTGTGGCCATTCCCCGTGGGGGGTGATTTCTCGTTTTGTCTCTCTGTCTCTTTCAGGCACATGCACACACCGCCCTATAGCAAAAACCTCTCAGAAAAAAAAAAGAAAAAAGAAACAAAAACCTGAACATTTTGAAGACTCCTCAATCTATGTCATAAACTTAAGCCTTTAGTAATCAACAGGGATTATAAGTAACAGGGTTTTGTCCATCAGAACTTCTGCATCCATACTTTCTGCAGAAAAAACTGTATGGTGCAATTTTAATAATTGAATATATTAGCATTTTAAGTATTCTCTACAGGAAACTTAAACCCTTTACTATTACAGGTGGTGTCACCTTAATGTGTACTACTGCAAGAAAAAGCTCTTTTGTACACAGATGTAGGAAGAGGCACTTACTGTTTGGTTTTGATGGGACCTCTCTCATCAATAGGTTCTCCAATGACATTCATAATTCTACCCAAGGTCTCAGGACCAACAGGAATTTTGATTGGTGCACCAGAATCCAGAACTTTTTGGCCTCTAACCAAGCCTTCTGTACCATCCATAGCAATAGTCCTTACTGTGCTCTCACCTGTCAGGTAATAGGCATCATGGGTTATATACATGGAGTAGCTGATACTATGCTATTTTAAAAAGTGTAATGGGCTTGAAAACCAACCAAAACTCCTTCTCAGTACATAAATATGGCTTCAGCAAACTCAGAAGAACGAAAGTCATTTTGATAAGATCATCATGGAAGGGAGAAAGCTTGTTTGTTTTTTTAATAGATATTTGAGCTTAACAAGGTCTTCGCTATTCCTACACAAATTCTACTTACCTAAATGCTGGGCCACCTCCAAAACGAGCCTGGTTTCCCTGCCTTGCACTTCCAGGGCATTTAGGATGGGTGGTAGTCCCTCATCAAACTGAACGTCTACCACTGCACCGATGACGGCCACAATGCGCCCAGTGGCAGCGCCCGCCTTCGGCGACGGTGATGTTTGCGCGGCATAGTCTCTGCCTACCAGAAAAAAGACATTAGAAGGATCTGCGTAAGGATGATCAAAGGTCATTGGAAGCCCCGGCCTAAGCCACCAGGAAAAGCGAATTCAGCCCGGGATCGGCCTCCTTCCTCTTGCTCAGAAGGCGGGTCTACAGGAGGTGCCGCGCAGAAATGGAAAAAGCGCCTGCACAGCCTTCCCATCCTGATGCACAGAACCCTCTTATTCAAGAGCCCGGTACCCTCATTCCAAAGGAAGGTCAACGCATCTGCCTGCACTTTTTCATCACAGAGCCCTTTTACCAAAATGGAACAGAACTGGGTTGTAAAATGCTTTCACGAACGACACGTTCTTGTTCGTTTGCCGTTAGAGGGCAGGACACATCCTTCTAGCACGAATCCCTTAGGCCCGAGTTGCAATCGGCCTCCGGTTCAAGGTCACGCGGCGACAGAAATGGGCCCGGTTACTAGAAGAAATCACTTACCGGACTGGACCACTGCCGGGGTGGCCCGTAGTAAGAGCTGAGCTTGGGGTAGCGACGATGAAGGGCTGAGTCCCCGCAAGGCCCCGGAGGCCGAGGCAGCAGCCACACGACCCACAAGACTCAACATGGCGGAGTCCGGGTGGAGACTGAGCGCCGCAGCTGTCTCGGCCACCACCTCCCGCAGTTGAGGCAAGCCCTACTCTGCTATAGGCGATTCCATTGGGTATATTTACTGCTCATCATTCTTATCGCTGCTTCTATAGGCTAATAAACTTTCATCTTTGCATCCATTGGTCAAAATTGGTGCTAATATAAAATCTCCTTTTTAATTGGACACTGTGAGTGAGGTGCAACCCTCTGATCCTCGAAACCTGATTGGACTATAGGAATGTCAGTTGGAAAGCGTACTTGACGGAACTGCGTTTAGGGAAGGGGCGGAGTTCCTGGTGTGAAGCCTGATGGTTGTCTTTTCCTGTCCTTGGGCTCTCCTCTTAGGACCTTGAGCTGGGTGAAAGCTATGGGAGGTTAGGGAAAGGGTACCCACGTGAAGCACCACTGGAGGTGCTTGTAGCGAAGTCAAGAGCCAAATGGTTTTCTCTTTCGCAGTAGTGAGATTAAAAGTTCCCAGGAGGCTACTCAAGTCAGAAATCTGGACAGGATCTTTAACATTTAAATTTATACAAGGAAGGAAATTAACGAAACTAGTCATAAACAGATGTATGCTAGGCATTGAGAAGACAAAGACAAATGACCAAAGAAGGTCTACATAAGCAAACAGTGCAATAAAATGTACCGTTTCCTGGCTAGTTTGGGGTAGAGTGAGTGTATGAGAGAGGAAGGGATAAATTTGGGTCACCTACAGCTGTATGCAAATTGCACAATGTAGAGGAGGCTGAGAGGCCTCAGCCATGAAATGTGAGTAGAAATACCTAGGGTAAGGTAGAAAAAAATACTCCAAGCACACAGATTAGCTTTAAATAGCATGTTCCTGGAACCAGCAGATAGTTAAATGGTTATGCCAGTGGACTCCAATGTAGTCGGCTGTGGTTCAAGTCCTGGACCTGGAGGCTTAAAACTCATGCCCAAAATCCCAAGAGGAGAATGGGGTAGAAGGGATAGCAGTTTAAAAAAAAAATGCATTGCTATATAGAATATATCAGCGGTTGGGCTACCTTCCTAGACACTCTGCCACCATCTCCTAATAATCATTTTTCTGCATGATGATTGAGAAAAAGTTACCCACTGTGGAAAGCTACCAAATAGTTAACAAAGAAAGCAAGAAGAAAAAAAATATTAAAAGTTCAAGGGCCAGACCAGCAGGTGATGTGGTTGGAGTGCTGAACTCCCATGTGATCTACAGCTGTTCAAGTCCTAGACCCAGTGGCTTGAAATTCCCTGGGGCGCATGTGTGTGTGTGTGCTCAAAATTCCAAGATGGAAGAAGGGATTCCAGTGTGGCCATCCTCCCTGGGTAATGATTTCTCACTTTATGTCTCTCTGTTTCTCTGTTTCTGTCTCTGGCAAGCATACACACCCTATAGCAAAAATCTCTCGATAGAATGCCCAGCTGGGTATCTTGCCAAGAAAGAAGGAAATAACCTAAGAGAACACCAACATATAAGGAACAGGTAGAGAAAAATAAAATAGCAAAGTAAGGGACAGAGGAATAAAAAGAGAACCAAAGAACATAATGTTAAGAATCAAGGAAGATGGAACCAGCAAATGGCATAATGGGTAAATTGCTGGACTCCCATGGAGTCGACAGTGGTTCAAGTCCAGGACCCAGTGACTTAAAACTCACGCAGGCACATGAAATAAAAAGAAAATTAAAAATAAAAAGGGGGAAAAATCAAGGAGATGGGTCAGCAAGGTGTGGTGGTTAAAGTGTTGAATTCCTACATGGCTGACCACAGGCTGAGTCCCAGACACGGTGGCCTTGAAAGTCAGGTTGGTTAATGTGTGTGCATGCCCAAAATCTAGAGAGGAGTATGGACAAGGGAATGGTCTGTGGCCATCAACCCTGGGGGCTGATTTCTCACTTTCTCTCTGTCTGTCTGTCTTTGCCCAGCTCAGGCACCCTGTGGAAAAAAAAAAAAAAAACAAGGAGGGCCGCACCTGTACTCTGGTGGTTAAGGGGAGC